GTCATCTCATTAGGTATTGATAAAAAAAAACAAATATAGAACAGTATACAATCTGCTATAGGAACTTCGTGTGTGGTGATATTGTAGAGGGCAACAGAAAGAGCTGACTTCAGAGAGGCCAACAGAAGATTTAGTATAAGGTGGAAATAAGCATATATAGGCAGAAGTGCCCTCCAGACGTTGCAGAGTATAATCAGAAAACATAGCCAAGAAGTAGTATTCCGTGTACTAATGTTATAAAGGAAGTTTATTAGGTAGCTCAAATTAATTTTATAGAGAGCTGAATAAGGCTTACCTCATTATGTCATTCACTTCTCCTCTATCTTAAACTCCACCCATGAGGCTTTATTCAGAAGAGAAAAGTCACATAAATAAACTCAGCAGGTTTTAGCTATGTGTGATTAGAGTCTATGGAAATAAACTTCTTCTTTTTTTTTTTTTTTTGGTTTTTTGGTTTCCAAACCCAAACATATTATGCTCACATAATAAGCATTCAACAGAAATTCATTTAACAAAATGTAAATGACCTTACTTCCTCATGCGTTGTCTACAAAGTCAGGTATGTAAAATTTTATTAAGCTGAAATGTTCATCTTTCTCAAAAGATCTGCTTACATTTGGAAGGATGGAAGTCTTTGGTAAGTTCTGACTGTTGGTGGTTTTATATTATATTGAAAGCATTTAACTATATTTTCAGCAAGGTAAACATAAAAGAAGGTTAAAAGGAATAGTCTTTTAGATAGCTAGGCAGCTAGTGTTTGACAGTATAAATTGAATCGGTCCCTTATCTTATAAAGGCAGAAGACACTGAGAATGAGTGAAGAAAATTGGACTTCTAAAATGATAAAATATTCAATAACTCTCTGGAAGGAAAATCTCAGTTTTCATAACTTGATTTCTAACCAAATTTATATTATGTGGAAAAAACACTGCATAGAAAACATTTCAGTCTCCTATTGCATTCTGAAGCATATTAATTATAACATAAACAATGGCGACAAGACAATTGGAACTGTTATTTAGTTTTCTGCAATGTGTTCACATTCATGTGTTTTGCATGTTACCTTGCAAATCTTTATAATAACTCTACTTTCGAGGCACTAAATGTGAGTTTAAGAAAGGCCGACAAATGCCAAAGATTCTCAGCAAGGATGTAACTGTGATTATTTGAAATACAAGTTCCATCTGGCCCCACAACTCATGCCTATTCACTACTAGTATTTATTAAATGTTATTTATTATTTTAATGAAGTTTTCCATATTTGAGTAACAATCTAAGTAATTTATTGATTTGTATGCATGTGTGTAGATATTTATTTATCTACACATATGTATATATATGTGTATATATATATTATATATCATAGATTTTGCCACATAAACTCTTATAAGTATTCAGTTCATTGGCATTGATTATACTCACATTGTTATACAACAGTCACCATTATTCATCTACAGAATTTTCTCCTTATCCAAATTGAGACTCTGTGCCCATTAAATACTAATTGCCTAGTACCTAATTCCTTCCAGTGCTTTGTTACTGCTATTTTCTATCTACAAATTTGAGTACTCTAGGTACCTCATATAAGCAAAATCATACCCTACAACTTGTCCTCTTTTTGTCTGGTATAGTGTTTTGAAGGTGTATCCATATTTTAGGATGTATTTGAATTTTATTTCTTTTGTAGGCTGAATGTTATTCCATAGTTTTAATACATTGATCTGTTCCTGAACATTTGGGTTGTTACAACCTTTTGGCTACTGTAAATAATGTTGCTGTGTATGTGATTTTGCAAATATTTCTATTGAAGCTACCCGATTTCATTTATTTGGGGTATTTTGCAGAAATGTAATTGATGAGCCATATAGTAAATTGTTAAATTATTAATTTACTTGTAGAAATCATCTCATGTTATATTAAGTAAATTACTTTAAAAGGCCACTTTATCATTGATACAGTCAGGATAGATTTAATTAAACAAATAACGAATCATTACTCTTTGGACAGTAAAATCTTACATCCTGCTCACTCTGGATATCCCATGGGAATCAGGAGGAGGAGTGGAGGTGGATTCTACACAGTCCGTCAAAGATCTAGCAGAAGATCCATCATTCTTAGCAACATAAGGGCCAGGAGAACTTTTCCATTTCAGGGGCAGAAAAAGTGACTTCTGGGGGGTTTTACAAAGGCAATGACATATTTGAATCTAAAAATGGCTCATGTAATATGCAGTTTTTAGATCATTTGTGAGAAATAATTTTCATGGTCCTGATAAATTGCCAGAAGTGTTGGACCTCTTATGTTTTTAATGGAAGAGAAAGGCTTACATAGTTTGTGTTGTGTGTTCTCTGAATCTCTCCCCATATAGTAAGCCAAATTCACCTTTGCAGGTTATATATATGTGTGTGTGTGTGTGTGTGTGTGTGTGTGTGTGTGTGTGTCTTTTTACCATTTGATTTCATTTGAACTATCATCAGATGTATGCATCCTACTTAGTACCATATTGTTTTATGCTTAAGAAATGAAGTCTTCTCAATAAGAATAGTCTTGTATTTGTTACCTCAAACAAAAAGAAACCCACAATATTAATAAGTAATAAAAATGAAGAGAATTTGGATGAAGAGGAAATGTTTTTCAGATAAAGTAATGCTTCATTCACTTATTATTCATTTATACATACATTTAGCAAGAAATAGACATTAAAATGAGAAATGATTATGACACAAGAGATTTTGTAACATATAAGCAAGATATACCTAAAATGTAATTTTAAAATAAAAATTCTTGGGGATGGAAAAGAGTAAGGCAATTCAAAACTATTAACTAAATACAGTATTTCTTGAGTTCAGAGACTAAGGAAATGAAGGTCATGTGAGGGGTGACACTCTCTAATATACAAGCATCACCTGTGTTCTCAGACCAGTGAGAAGAAAGGACTCCTATCCTTTCAGGTAGGGTTCCTAATCTCTGTCCTGTGCATGAATGATTAAATGAAGAACAGAAGAAGTTAAATGACAGCAGGACAATTTGGACACTTGAAGCTTGCATTTAAACTCTATTCTTGTGAACCCATTGAAATGGTCTTTACAACTCTGTGATTGTTATCTAAATTGAATATCAGACCAGAATCTGTTTTCTTTTGAGAAAGATTATAGGCAAGTAAAACCTAGGTTACATAAATTAGTGACTTTGAAAGGCTGGGGAAAAAATAAAAATTCTGTATAACAAAATATGAATTAGAATAATTGAATTAGAATATCAATTAAAGGAATTCCAAATTATTCAACATTTATGATGACAAAAAAGCATAATAAGATATTTTATTCTTTCCAGTTGATAAGTCTATTGATGGAGGTGTTTTTGTATTTCGGACCTCAAATTGGTACAGCCTTTTTGGATGACTATTTGTATCAAGAACCACATAGTTTTTGTCAATCTCAATTTTTACCAAGTAATTCTGTTCCCAGAAATTCATTCTAAATAATCAGTTATAAACACAAAGTATATGTATATCTAAATCTCTACATCTGTATCTTTTTCTAATGTACAATCCAACATTTCTTTTAACAAAAAATTAAAACAACCGAATGTTTTTACTCAGAAATTTATACAATTTTATACAGCCATTACAAAACACACTAAAAAAGGAATATCAAGTATAAATAAAAAATGTTAAAATTGTTAAATGGGTCTGAACAGAAGCATCCTAAAGTGTGTCTCTGACAGAGAGGACAGTCAGAGCATCAGAGGTTACACTGTTCCTAGGAGTAAGTGAGAGGAACTCAGAGCCTTCAAGAGCAGTAAGGACAACCCTAAATAGGCCTGAGAATTAGAAGACAACAAGAGAAAAATATGTTAATTTGAAAAAAAAAAGCATCTTAAATTACAATATAGGATGTAAGGTGAATTATATAAGTGAATTTATGTGTAGAGTTAAATGCCAAATCTGTAAAATTTGTTTTTTCTTGGTGGAATTCAATGACATCACCTCCTAACAGCCAGTTGGGCTGGAGAAAACACTTGAAATGAGTGGAGTTTGGCAGATTCTCTTTCCTGTCAATTGGGACTTCAATCTGTTCTGTGCTGTGCTGTGATGTGCTAAAGATGGAGGCGGGGTAGACCTGTAGTTCTTGGGGTATGCACATGCCAAACGGAAGGGTCTGAAAAAGAAAGAAAAGGAAGGAAATGATTGGAGAGAAGCAGAGATGAGGAACAGCAGAGTAACCTGAGCCCTGATTCCAGGTGCCATAAACTCTACCCCATGAAATATCTATATCTTTCCATCAATTCCCCTTTTGGATTAAACTATTCTGAGTCAGTTTTATTTTCTATGCACTTAAAATATCCTAGACTAAAACTGTATATGACAGTTACTAAATATATTTGATTTATATATGACTGAAATTTGGCTTTAGAATGAATGAACTTGAGGATTCAGAGGACATTCTAGGAAATGGCTGGACTGCTTTATTCTTCATAAAAGACTCAAAATAGCATTACTGACTTTCATTCATCTTCTGTTTAATTATCTCCAGCAAGCAAGTATTCTCTCCTGTGAGAACTCTTTACCTTTTAGTTTCATTCTCCTGTTCTTCCTACCAGTGTTTCAAAAACTGAATATTTTTGTAGCATTCCCTTCAAATCTTCTATGCCTTGAATAATATTGGCTAATTGCTCTGTAATTTCAGGCCTTACTCATTTTACTTCTGACCCTCCATCATCTTGCTTACTATAAATAATAAACACAAGCATGGATTCTGTGTGATGTGTCCAGGCCATGTCTTATCCCATAATGCTTAATATACTGTAAAAGAATCTGGAGTTGTAACAACAGAATTACCTCATTAACAAATTATGTGATCATGAGAGAATTCCTTAACTTTTCTGAACTTTGGTTTCATCATTAGTAAAATAGTTGCAACCTCTGTTTAACAGGGTTGTTATTATGCTTTGGATAAAGGTTCAGAATAACAATAGTCAATTTAAATATCAATAAATATAGCCTTTTTGTTGGCATGCTCACTTTTTGAAACTAGTAAATATGGGGTCAAAGAGGCATAAATCAATGCTTATCAGGCTTTTCTGGCGCTTAAATTTGATATTTTAATGTAGGAGTTTTGTAAGTAAAAATAAATAAATAAATACTAAGCTTATGAATACTATTTATTAAATATCATTTGATAATTTTATGGATATTTATGAAGTTGTAATATTGTTAAACATTTGTAAAATTATTTTCCTGAATTATTACATGTGCCATGCATAGTAATGGGTAGATGCAACTAATCCTGTTTTTACAGATGAGGAAATTAAGGTTCAGAAAGGTTAAATAATTTACTGAAAGTCAGATAGAAAATGAGTGTCAAAGTCACTATTGTAACTGGATTTATTGAGCTACAAAGTTATCATTCTTTCCTTACAGTGCCTTGCCCCTGAGAAAGAACACTGTTAATGCCATATTACAATGATTGAAACTAATTCACTTTGATTTTTATTTTTTGGCAACATGTAAAAGCAGAAAAAAAATCAGTCATATTTCATCAGTAACTTCCTTGTGGTTATGTTTAAAAATGAAAATCAGAGCAGTGACCTTCAATCATCTTTCTTTTCCCAGTGTGCTGATTATCTTCTATCTGTCCTTCTGGAGGAGCACACCCTTCTGTACCCACCCTGCTGTATCTGGGAGACCAACTTGCAAGGCTACACCAATAAATCTCTAACCTGACCTTTTGTTGGATTCAACCAATGGAGAGCCCCAATAGGAAGCAGTGGGAAAGATAGCAAATGAGAGGGAATTACTTTCTAATTATTTTAGCACTTGGTCCTCAGTTCCTTTCTAACCCCAGGGTAGGTTTGTAGGAATCCACTCGGAGCACATTTTGATAAATAGTTATTTTATTAAACCATCTCAAAATAATAATAATTAATTTTATTCTAGGACCTTGTCATTTGTTTTATTTTCTGATGCTTTCTCATATACTTGATACAAAACAGGGGACTTGACACACTAAATATATGTGAAAAAATGTATAAACTCTAAAAGAGAATAAAGTGACTTCATTAGAATAAAATGATATATTTGCTTTTTTCTTATAGAAGACACACTAGCTGGTGCAACAACTATAGGTGTCTGATAATTCCAAAATAGTTTCTTCTTCAACAGATGTCATTATACCAAATAGAAAAACAAGTTTTTATCCAGGCTTATTTTCTCTTTTATAAGCAAAGGCATCTTGGAACCCCATGAAAGCTGAGAAGACTCCGTCATATAGCCAGACTCCCTGCCTGGGAAACTGAAGGTAATCCAAAATGAGGTTCCAGGAGGTTCGCCTAGAAGCTGTGTGGTCACTCTGGTCTGGCAGAGAATGAAAGCCCTGGAAGCTTAGAACTGCACTCCCAAACAGCAGTCTTTCAGCTGGGATTAAAATGTTAGCCAACTTTGGACCAGATGTATTCTGAAAATAAATAAATTTCCCAAGAAGAACCATCAGTAACACAAATATAAATTCAAGTCTAGGATTTGTCTTGAACAAAGGGATACCTCTCTCTTCTCAGATAGCACTTCTGTTTTGTTGACTGAGGTATCTCAGCCATTAGAAATGTGGTCTACTTATCTCCTAGGAATAATTCATGGAGTGCTTAATTTTTTTTTTACTCTGTATACAATCTTGTCCTCTCATAGTTTAAGTAAGAAAGAGGCAAAAATTATGCCTTTTGGACAGCCTAAAAGCTACTATCTGAGATTTTCATTCATCAACTCTTATGCTTTAAAGAAGGCACAGGAGTTCTCAAACCATTTACTAACTCAATGATCATTTCAGATCACTCAATACAACATAGCAGGTACTGCTGACATACCAATAAAAGACATTTGATAAATTGCTATTGTGATGCAATTATGAAATCAATTTGCTTTTGGATACTAGGGGCTATATTCTCCCTCTCTAGAATTTCTGTAAGAAGTATGTTTTAGCATTCCAAATTATAAATTAATAAATGGAATCTCTGAGGAGTAAGGCTACTTGCTTAAGGTTTCACATAGAAGAATGAGTAAAATGAGAAACCTGACCTCCTATTTCTACCAAAGTATTAATTTCACCAGGGAAAAGTATCCTCTGATTTTCCCCTAGATCTATCAGAATTCACATAGCAACATGTAGGGAACATCATCAAATGGAATGGATTGTAATCTGGACTGGCTGAGGACACATGAAGGGCTAGGGAACATCTGGTTTTGTTTTGTTTTAGTTCTGCTATTTCTATACATATTATCTTGTTACTGAAATATGTGTGTGTGTGTGTGTGTGTGTGTGTATGTATGTGTATATATATATATATATATATATATATATATATATATATATATATAT